TTCATAATTTTATTTTTAGCTTAATATCTTGTTTATTTAGCTTTATATAAAATTTTAAAAAGTGTCCACACTTATATGGTAGGCCACTGTATATAAAATATAATAGATAGTTAGAATTTATTATCATCTTGATACAAATCTGTAACTTATCTTATTATGTATATAGCAAATTCAAAATGAAATAAAATAATAATAAAAAAAAAATAAAAGTAGTTTTTTATCATTTGCAAAAAATTTTATTAAGTAAATCAAGAATAGTTATTAAGTAAAATTTATTTAAAAGATCAAAATATATATATTATAAAAATTTTATACTAATTAAATAATTTTATTAAATTTAAAAAAATTTTAAACTTTTTATTGAAAGTAATATACCAAAATATATTAATAAAAAATTATCCAATTTGGATAAATCTTTTAAAAAATATTTTTTTTAATTTTCTAAACAACTTTCATTTAATAAAGTAGATTGATTTACTTAATAAAATTTTAACTTTACTATAGAATAGCTACTAATAATTGTATAAGTAACTTATTTTGGATATAAGAAGTTTTTATATTTTTTTAAAGATGAATCAGTTTTGAAAAGACCAAATAAGGATCAATCTTTTTAATCAGTCTTATGATTAACTGATCCTTAGTTCTGAAACTAGTCTGGACTGGTTCTCATAAATTTAATTCAAATAATTAATTAAAAAATATATTATATAATTTTTTATTTTCAATTACCAATATTATATAATTTGATTTTCTTTACTAACCAATAAGATTAAATAATTAAGAACTGTTATTGAAACCAAAAACTAGACTAAAAACATTAATAGACCAGTTTTTTTAGAACTGGGCAAACTAGACCAACTTATCTATCCTTATTTTTTCTAAAAAAAAAAAGTAACTTATTTCTAGAGTAGTTTATTTTTGAAAATTTATAGTAAATTTGTTTAGTACTAAAAAATATACATTTCTATAAAATAAAATAATTTATAAATTTATTATATTTAATAAAAAATTTAAATTATTATATTTTGTGGGCCGGGCTGGGCCGGGCCCAAATTTAAATTAATTACAACTATTTTCATAATTCCTGAGACACCTGTAAAAAATTAGCCAGATGATTTTTCAGCTGATCTGGTCTGATCTGGTTAAGTTATTATTTCAGCATAATAGATTCAGTAATAGTATATATATAAGTACATACAGTACATACATACGTATAACTATTATGTACATACGTTATCTGTTATAGTTATTGCATGGGTTGTAAAATAACTAAATCTGCACATGTTAACCATTACATAGCCAAAGACATAGGTTAACCTTGCAAATTTAGTTATTTTCTATGACCCATATAATAACCATATTATTGCACGGGTGTCCAGATAAATGAAAAAAGCACGGTTGTTCATAAGACCCGTGCAATAAAAATTGTACTGTACTTACGTACATACGTATAACAGTTGTACGTACGTACGTACCAATTTTATTGAATCTATTATGCCGAAATAATAACTTAATCGGATCGGCCGAAAAATCATTCGGCTAACTTTTTACAGGTGTCCCAAGAATTATGAAAACAGCTGTAAAACGGGCCGGGCAAGGCCGGCAAAAAATTTTTAACCCTAATTGCGGGCCGGGCCCGGGCTGAAAAATTTGAAATTTGCAGGCCTCTACTCCAGACAATAATACTAGGAGATAAGTCTGGAGCTCATTTAATGTTTTTAGACCCTGAAAAGTCTTATCGTAGATCAAATTTTTCAGGGGAGTTACATCCGGAAAATACCAAAACTGCATTTTTGATATCTCTATTATTAATATATCAAAAACGTAATTTCGGCGTAGAAATATGCTTCATTCCAGACAACTAACCTTATATATTTATTAATATAAATATAAATATGACATGTTTTTTTAAACTTTTTTCTTACACTAACGTTAACTTCGGATTAGAGAAGAAAACCATTATTTGCAAAGATACTTTCAAAACACAATCTGACTTCTTTAAGTCTTCGCATAATCAACAGGAAGGAAAAGCATTAATAGAGCGCTTTAAAAATTGTACTGGTATTTTGGTTCTTTATAATAATAACCTTGTATCACGGGAAGGAGAAGAAAACATTAGCAAATACCAAGAAAAGGATTAGCAAATGTACACCAATCTTTATCATGTTAGGATATTTCAATCAGTACCGGTACGTAACATCTTACGGTTGATTTGGGTTGATTCTATGCGGTACCTCAATAAATTTTAATCATTTTAGTCATCCGCAAGGAAAATCACTATTTGGCACTTGCTTTCAAATAGCGATTTTTCTAGCAGATGACCCATTACTTGTTGCCTGGACCCGACCAGGGCGGTCATCGAAATTGCAGGAAATGCGAGAAAACGCCATTGCTGCAACTGCAGTTATATTATTTATAAATATGCAAACAATAATACTTTAGCTGCGGTAGTTGAGTCTTGTCCATAGACTTTCTGATATAGCGGTGGTGTTTACCACATGGCTCGCAGTTTTCCTGGTTAAGCTCGCTGCTGGCCTTATTTTTATGCAATTACACAATTAGTATAACATAACTATGATATAACCCTGGGCGGATCAACCCGAAAGGATTCGGATCAATCCGAAAACGTTAATCCGTTAAAATTTTTATTATCATTGTATCTGGAAACCTTGATTTCTAGGGACCAAGCAAGCTTACTGCCGTGACTTCTCGGACAGCAGCCCGTAAACCTAGTGTCAATTAGATAGGACGCATTTTCGTTTTAAGGGTTGGTGTGATGAGTATGATGAAACTAGACGGAAATCAATTTAGTAAGAAAGTAAGTTTTGTTCTTACACTGTATAGACGCGTGATACGTGAAAAATGCAATTAGAATAACAGATGCCGTCGCATCGAGCAGCACAGGTTGTCAGACATCTGGTTTTTAAATGCACATATTAGAAAGAAATGGCTGATTTTGGTGATAATGCACATAATCTTATTAAAACAAAGATTCTGCTGCTAATTAAAAATTGAGTCAGCCAAAATTTTAAATAGTAGAATTCCTGTTTTTTTTTTCTTTTTTTTTTTTTTGCGGTTGAAAAAGGTTTATATCCGGACATTTCTAAATTAATTTTTTTCTTTTCTTTTTGATTGTCATTGATCTTTTCTTAAAAAAAAAGAAGCAATTCGCGTCCCGAATCAATTACCATAATTCAAGCAAACCATATTCCCACGATGAAGTATTGTCAGTATTATCTTCCTTATCTATATTTTTTTTTATGGTGCAAATAAAAAAAAAAATAATCACCAAAAAGGAAAAATGCAAAAAAAAAAAAATGCAAGACGTATTAATGATGATCGTAAATATTTATATTCTATAAAAGGCAACCACGTGAGGCAAAGTGGCTCAACATTGCCAACACACTCAAGCAGCATTTATCTATTACTGTATTATAGTGGCTATATGCACACATCGGTTTCCGGCTTGATAAACTAACCAATATAGGTAGAGGGTGGTCTGGCAAAGTTAAAATTTATCAAATTCGCCAATAGCAAATCTTTATTAAAATATTAATAATAATTACAAATTTTTATTTCAATATAATATAATTCTTGGACTGCTGAAATTATAAAATCAAAAAAGACTTGTGTTTGCACAACTTATATTTGTAACTAAGTAACTTCAACTGTCGGGACAAAATTAACTATAAACGGGAGTAATTATCAGTATCTATGCATTATGACAATCATCCTCGCTCTGAATCAAAGAGGTTTGTTTAATTATTTTACAATCCGATGGCCAGAATTGAATTTTTTATATTATTCGATTCGTCTTGATGAGACGAGTCGAATGGTATAAGAATCATTAGATTCCAATTGATAATATGTGATCCGCCACATTACTTACCCCCGCCAGAATACCCACTAATATTTTTTCACGTTAAGTCTTGATTATTTCGATTTAATGAAATTTATAAAATTTTAATAGTGATAGCTATCTATAAATCGATTAAATGAGATTATGATTCAACTGAAATGTTCATTCTTCATCCCTTGTATCTCTAAACAACATCTAAAGTACAAAGAATTCCTGTTGATCTCTATTTGTCCCAACGAACGCCCCCAAATTCCAAAACCTGTAATTTTCATAATCATATTTGTATTTACAATTATTGTTATTATTTTAAGAGAGTGAAGTTGAAATACTTAATTATTAATTATTTTTAATTTTGGATTACCATCGGCGTTCCATTTGCATAAAAAACAATGGTGGTTAAATAAGGAAAGCACAAACTCAACAGCATCGATGATACATACCAAAAAAGTGGAAAGGACGGCTAAAATGTTTACTATGTACAATAAACAAATTGTCACAAGACTCTACTTTATTCTAAAACAGTGTAGTGTGCTATTCCCGTTGTGTAAATGCGGGGTTTGTATCGGGAAATGTGCGCACGTACGTGCCTATATCGTAAAGTATAAAAAGAAATTCGGTTTACATCAATTCTTTTTTTTTAATTTTACCTTCCCACAAAGTGTTACAAATGGCTGACGCGAACGAACCTGTGACGCGTTCTAACGAAGATAATTCGTCTCCCGATGTGGTAATACCTGCGGATACTCATGAGACAGTAGAAACAGCACCTATCCAAGATCCGCCATCTGGTGCTTCTAGCGATAATCCTACAACCGTGGAGAATCCCACTCCGCAACTGGATTCCTCGGCACCTCCTGCAGACATTCTTCAACCTTTACCTCCACAGTTGCCCCGTTGGATGAACCCACCTCCAAAATTGCGTTCGCGCTTAGCTAGATATTTTCATAAAATGTCGTCTCGTTTTTGTCAATTTACCCTAATTATTATAATCATGTATATTATACTCACTATTTACATATCTAAAGATGTCCCTGAACGAAGTGATTATTCTCATCTAGAATTTAATTGGAAAGTGAATCCTGCTTCATATTTAACACCAATGGATAATACTTTTGTTGATTATAATATTTTGCTGGATGGGCATTCCCATACTACTTATTCTGATGGCCGGATGAAACCGGAACAACTGTTACAATGGGCGATAGGTATTTCCTATGCTTTTTGTAATAATAAACGTGATACAAATTTCTAACTTTGATATTCGAAATTCGATAGCCAATGGCTACAATGCTATTATCGTAAGTGACCACAATACCATTGAAGGTGCCCTGGAAGCTCAAAAAATTGCAAATGAAAAATACAAAAATCAGATTACCGTAATTCCAGGAATGGAATATAGGTTGGTTCTCTGTAGTTGAAGTTTTCTCAGTCATTATGTCTCATGTATTCTCATTGGATTTTGTTTGTTATCATATTATAGTTGTTGCAGGATACATATGCAATTCATTGGTATTCAGTCCAATCCTTTTGGACCTTTTAATAAACCCCGTCCTACGAACGAAGAGTTGAAAAAGATGATTGATGAGGTTCATGAAATGGGTGGTTTAGTAACCGTAAATCATATTCCCTGGAGTAACAAAACAGGTAAACAATATACCGACTTTTCATAAGTTATTGGTTTCACAAAAAAAATAGGTTTTCTGATATTTAAATACCCATAGAATGGGGATACCATGATCCCACATTACCGGATCATCCTACAAGGGATGAACTTTATGAAATGGTAAATATTTGAATTTATTAAATAATTTGAATGTCGGGGATGAAGCTGAAGCTGAAAATTTGGGATCTCAATTTAGATCCATAAAACCTACTAAAACCCACTTATACTTGTTTATTATAAATCCTACCCATAAAGCTGACCCCTAACCTTAAAAAAAGGTCAAAAAAATGTACCTCAAAAATTTTTTTAATTTGTCATAATAAATAGGTTAAATTTTCAGCTTCAGCCACCACAATAAATAAATATTATTAACGATGATATTACTGATTTGATTATGAAAGGGTGTTGATGGATTTGAGATCATTAACGGAAACGTCTTCGATTTCGAAACATATGTGTTTGCTAAAAAACATCAGTCTCTCGCAATTTCCGGTTCAGATGTTCATCATCCATCTGAGGGTGCATACGCGTGGACTTTATTGAAGGCGGCCAATAGAACTGTTGAAGGTATTATGTCAGCACTAAAAGGGAAGGCTACATCGTTTTTATTCGATGCTACAGGAACAAGGCCACGTTACTACCCCGCTGAAAATAAGGAATACTTGGCTCTATTACCGATAACTGCATTAGCCAATGCATTTACCTCATTTTATGATGATTATAGAGGAATGTATTCCTTCCAAGGTGGATTTTGCCATGAAAGAAAAGTTGTTGTGCATTGGATAAGTTATTGGTATTTTGTATTGTATTGTTTATTATTTTTCATCATTTACGAAGTGATGAGAAAAGTTGTGAAATTTATGTATGCAAGATACAAAAAGTTTAGGAATTATAGAAGGGGTCATTGGCGCAGACTCGACGCAGATGAACAAAATCCGTATAATAGAGAATATTATACAGATATGGATGTCATAGACATGGAACCCTAAAGGAAACTTAGGAGAAATTTCTACTCCCACTTTTTACTTTTTTACTCGTGATTATTTATTTATCCTTTAGTGAGCTGAAAATATTCTTTTATCTTAAAAAAATTTTTTTTTATAAAATATTTACACAAACATTTAATATGTGTAATACTGGGGTGGCTGATCATCCAATAAAATCAAAACATTTAGTAAATAAATTTTTGTACTTCTATATATAAACTGTCACGCGATTAACCAAAAATCGTCAAAACACTTGCGTATACTTTTATTGGTAGCGGTAGGATCTGCTTGCACAAATTGGGAAAAAAGTTGACGTTTTTGAAATACTCTTTTTACATCTACGGAGTGTACGATCGATCAGATCTAAAAATTTTTTTATTTCTATGATGTATATATATACTGTATGTACGATGTACATATATAGTCTTTTGGAGCACTTTTGTTATTTGATTATTTTTTTTGTAATATTGATTTTTTTACATTTTTTAGGGTTTTTAATAAATTTTTACTGATTTTTTAAAATTAGTTGGTTGGCATTTTAGTATTTTTTTTTAGCAAATTTTTATATAAATTTTTTTCTTTTTTAGTATTTTTTTTTAATTTGGTGGTTTTGCTTTTATTATTTTATTAAAAGTACTAGAAAATTATTATTATTTTTTTTTTTCACTTAGGCAAAGTCGCGCCAGTGAGTTCTGTTTATTAAAGCCCTTCTTGTGAAAGCTGTTAGCAA